AAAATACAACTTCTTTAGTTTCAAGGAAGCAGTTCATATGGTGTTGAAATTTTGCCAAGTAGATACTCAGAAAAAAAATTCCAGGTTAAGTTTTTAACAGAGAACAAGTTTAAACCACTTTGCAGGTAGAAAAGCCCAGAAACCTGGTAAGCAGGTAGAATGGGGACCTGAATTTATTTCACTGCCTGATTAGTTATTGACGAGCCTGTCTAGGATGCTTACCAAAGATACCAGGGGCATGACCCCACTCCAGGCCTACTGAATAATAACAACAATGGCAATGTAGCACTTATTGTACACCTGGCATAGTTATTAGTGATTGACATTATTATCCATTCACTTAATCCCCACAATACTCTATGCAATGGGTGCTACTATTATCTCCTTCTCAAAGGTAAGAAAACAGGTACACTGAGGCCTAAGGTCACACTCCTAGTAGGACAGACCTAGGATTTGAACCCAGGCTGTGCACTTAACTTTTATACTATTTTGTGGAGGGATTTCAAAAGCATAATTTTCTATTAATTACAAACACTAGTTAACAGCCTTTTCTCAATTCATGCCTAAGACTGAGGCATGCCGGTTCTGCCAGGGGGTATTTATTCTAGGTCTGACTAAGGACTATTGTCAAATAGAGTTTGTTGGGGCACTTGGGTGGCTCAGTGGGTTAAGCCTCGGCCTTCAGCTCAGGTCATGATCTCAGGGTCATGGAATGGAGCCCCACATCGGACTCTCTGCTCACCAGGAAGCCTGCTTCCCCCTCTCTCTCTGCCTACTTGTGATCTCTCTCTCTCTCTCTGCCAAATAAATAAATAAATAAAATCTTTAAAAAAAGTTTGTTCCCCAAGACAGAGCCACGATGCAAAAGGACTACAGTGCTGTTCAACTAAATAATGTTATGAAGTCATTTATGTATGTATGTATGTATATATGTATGTATGTAGAGAGAGAGTGGAAGGGGCAGCGGGAGAGGGAGAGAGAATCTCAAGCAGACTCCATGCTGATCGTGGAGCCCAACTGGGGCCCAATCTCATGATGTGAGAACAGGACCTGAGCTGAAATCAAGAGTCAGACGCTCAACTGATTGAACCATCCGGGTACCCTGCTATGAAGCCAGTTTTAAGTAGCTGATCAAAATATTTGGATGAAATATGAAACACATCTGGACACCTTACTTCGATTCACTGGTTTAGAAAGTGAATTTAAAAGCAAACCCAATGAAAGCCTGCCACTTTGAAGATCAGTAAAGGAAGTTGATACTCTTTGGCATATAATTAGCTTAATTATCTTTTAAGTAGGTGACAACTAAACTTAGTAACAAGTTGCAGGGATGGATGTACATATTAATAACTCAACTTTAAAACTGAATAAAATGGAAGGGCAAGAAATACCAGGTGCAGGTGCCCTCTGCCCTCTTCTGAAGACAGGCCTTTGAACTAAATTTGATTTTTTTTTTAAAGATTTTATTTATTTATTTGACAGAGATCACAAGTAGGCAGAGAGGCAGGCAGAGAGAGAGGGGAAAGCAGGCTCCCCGCCGAGAGAGAGCCCGATGTGGGGCTCAATCCCAGGACCCTGAGACCATGACCCGAGCTGAAGGCAGAGGCTTAAACCACTGAGCCACCCAGGCGCCCCTAAATTTGATTTTGTAAGTGAAAGAAAAGTTCAGAGTAAAGAAGGCAGCCAGAATTTATATTCTATTTGAGGACTAGGATTACTAGAGAATTATTTAAATTGAACTGGAATTCAAAGAGAGGAAAGAAAGAAAGGAAGGGAGGGGGGAGAGAGGCATAGAGAGAGAGAAAGAAAGAAAGGAGAGAGAGGAAAGGAAAAAAAAGGAAAGAAAAAGAAGACTATAAGGTCAGAGAGGACTGAAAAGGGGATCCCTGGAAGGAATTGTAAGCAAGTATTCTAGATCACTTACAACCACTCTTAAATTTCCTACTTTATATTTTCTAATGTTTGTTGTCTTGTTACACTCCACCCCTGCCCCAAGATTGTTTACCCTCTTTCAGATAGCAGCAAAACTCATTAAATGAAAATGATCTCCATACCATTTTCATTTTCATAGGCAAACAACTGATACCTATGTCCTATTTTGCTGCTAGCCTGCAGGGGTGGGGTGGGAAAGAACCTGAATAGTACTTGAGGGATGGCTGCTGAGAAGAGGGCAGCAAGCTGAATTCTAGCAAGTTTAATCACTTAATCATAAAGCCCATCATATTTTGCAATACAACATGAAATATCTTATTATTGGAGGAGGCCATCAAGAGGACATGACCACCGGTTGACTGGCAAGCTGGACTCAGGCAATTGGAGCTTCTTACCCTTTCCCCTGGACTTGGGCAAATCTCCACTGGTGAATTCTGCCTCTGGGTAATCAAACCAGCGCTGAGGGGAAACATCAACTGGGAACCAGTTAGCCTGTCATCCCTGTAGAGTGGTAACTGTCAATATAAATTGCCTGGGGGGCATAATAGGAAATAGGATAAGCAACCCACACTACGCTGAGTGGCCAGTAAAAGAGTCACATCACTCATGGTGGATGACAGCACATTACCAAGAACTGAACAAGGTCATCCCTCCCCATCCATGCAGCTGTGCCCAACATTGCCACCATCTTAGATAACTTGGTCAGAGTACCATGCTGTGCTGGACTTAGCAAATGCCTTTTGTCTGTACACCTCTGACCGATGAGTCACAAGACCAGTTTGCATTTACATGGGAGAGGCAACAATGGGTCCTTTGACTGATTCCCCAAGGTGCCCTTCATAGCCCCACCATATGTCATGGGATGGTAGCCTGAGACCTGTCCTGTTTTCTTCCCCCACATCACTAAAACGGATCCATTACATTGATGATATAATGTTAACATGGGGTAGGGGGCGCCTGTGTGACTCCGTCATTAAGCATCTGCCTTGGGCTTAGGTCATCATCCCAGGGTCCTGGGACTGAGCCCCACATCGGGCTCCCTGCTCAGCAGGAAGCCTGCCTCTCCCTCTTCCACTTCCCCTGCTTGTATTCCCTCTCTCACGGTCTCTCTCTCTGTGTCAAATAAATAATCTTTAAAAAAAAGAATGTTAACATGGGAAGATTTGCCTCTGCTGGAGGCCTGGAGGCTCTGCTGGAGCATATGTGAGAAAGAGGATGGGCAGTGAACCCACAAAAAATTCAGGGTCAAGGCTCTGCCATAAAGTTTTTGGGAGCTGTCTGGTCAGATGAGACTTGTGTTTTCCCAGAAGCTGTGGTTGATAAGGCGTAAGCCTACCCAGCCCCTAATATTGTGAACGAGATGCCTTTGTAAAGATTGGGGACTTTGGAGGACTTTTATTGCCCACCTGGCACAGTGCCCCCATTCCTTATAGCACCTGGTAAAGAAGGGACCTGTGGGACTGGGGAAGAGAGCAGCAAACTGCCTTTGAAAAAGCCAAAATACTAGTAAAGCAGGTTATAGTTCTGGACATCTCCCAAGCAGGACTACCATTTGAATTAGATGTGTCTGTGATTCTGGAATATATGGGCTAGGCACTAGCAAAAGTAAGAGAAGGAGAGAGTACTCCCAGGATTTTGGTCTCAGCTCTGGAAGAGAGCAAAAACCTATCTACTCCCATAGAGCAATAGCTCCTATCAGTGTAAAAGGACCCCTCCAGGTTAAGCCTGTCCCTACGGAAGAGTGCATTGTGGCAGAACTTCCCTGCCCATCAAGGGTTGGGATGAGAATACATTCCATTGACTCCACTCTGCCATGGCTCAGATTGCCACTGTGATTCAGTGACATGCCTATTTGCAGCAGAGGAGCACCCTATCCACCAGCCTACTAGAAATGCAGGTGCCACTAGGACCTGGGGAGGAGGGAGATCCTCCAGATGCCCCTTCCCCTATACCTGTTGTGTCCCTATAGCCCGTAGGGAGGGAGTGGGGAAATTCTAGGGGTGGTCCCATTTCAAAGGTCATGATGTGCAAGACTGGCCAAAAGTCATGACAGTGAATGGAGGGCCCAGCTCTCCTAGAATCCCCAAGCAGCAGGGTTGGTAGAAAGGAAAAATGGAATATTAATGGAGCAGATGAAATTACTAACAGGTAAACCATTTTCGCCATGTAGTCTAAAGTACTGTCCCAGACTTTAACACATTTGTGTGATCAACCAGTAACTCCTATTACCACATATGCCAGACCGGGGATCCCTGCTAAGGCACTGTAAAGGTGTGGAAGTTGCAGAACCCAGCCATTGCCCCAACTCTTACCAACATCAGCATGCTGGGCTGCTAAAAATACCAAATCCTGAGAAAGGCATGATCAGTCAGCTAATACATCACCTTTACTAAATCACATGAGAACGTAAGTGAATACCATGAGTGATCCAACCCCCAGCTAGGGATCAATTGTTGGGAGCCTGGGGTTCTTGGTGGAAAAACATTGTTTTGGGAATCATTACCTTAATCTGTGTTTTCTTTTGCATGTGCCTATACTGTTGCTGTGGTATCTGCCTCCCATGCAGACAGACAGACACCAAATGGGCCACCTCCATGATAGCAAACCCCCTCGCTGACTGCTCAGGAGACACTGTAGAAGGGGTGAGGTGTGACATTGCAAAAGCTGGTCAGGAGAGGTGGCATGTTAGGAGGAGGTCATCAGGATGTGACCACATGTTGACCCAGGAGCTAGACCCTTAGAGACTTCTTGGAATGTACATTCTGCTTGCCTTACTAGTGATGCGGTGTTGAGACCATGTGCATGGTAATGATTGAATCCAGTCAGAGCCTCTATATGAACTTTTAACACATGGCAGGTGTGGAGATGTACTTATCTTGCTGCTGCCCAGGACAAGCCTCATATGTAAGCTCCCTTGCTTATTTACACCAGTCACAGGCCAACCTGGAGGGGCCTGCCTCTTTCTTGGGTTTCTCTCTGCCTTCCATGAAGGGGACCAGTTTCAGATTACACCTGGGATGCTCCTGAGGTTGCAAACTAACACTCCTGCTGGGCACCAGGAGACTTACCTGGAACCTCCAGAGCCCTCCAATGTCATCAGTCCTTTCAAAGCAGACTGGCTCCAAGCCTTCTTCCAGGCAGCACTTGATAGAGGAGAGGCCACTCACACCTCCCCCAATCACAGCAATTCTTTTCTTGGTCATGGTCTCCAGATATCTTTATCAGGCTAAATCAATGTAACCTGTCCAAAAACAAAAAGAAAAAAAAAAAAAAGATGACAAAACACAGAAAGCACACATCAGCTAACACATTTCAGGGAGGAAAGATCTTGGCCTTGGCATCCTCCAAATAAATGCTGCGATAGCAGGTGCTTTAGGAGAAGCCAGGAAATAGGAAATTGCTAGGACATAGGAAATTGCTAGGAGGGGATATGGGAACCCCGCCTCCGCAAGACCCGAACCAGAGAGCCAAGTCGTGGTAGCCTATCTCACTGCCTTTCCTGCAGCACCTGGCGGATCCTTCAGCTGCCATCCAGAGGCTGCTCTGCACTTCTGGCTGTGGTGGAAGAAATATAAAGCAACAAAGTGCAAACAGCAACAGCCAATGGGGAGGAGCTATTCCTCTCCACCTCCTTTCAGACCAAGCCCTGTTGCTCCCTCGGCACCCTCTCCCTCCTCCCGTAGAGAATAGTACTTTGGCCAAACCTGCTTTGGGCGGAAAAAAAAAAAAAAAAAAAGTCCTCCAACCTCTGTTTTTGGATTGCAGTTGCCCCGAGGCTCAACTACGGTCTCTGGAGTCCGAGCAGCCCCACGTTTCCATGCCCCGCCGCCCACCCCCATCCACGTTTAACTTCCTGGTATCCGCCTTAAAGTGACAAACTTCTCCTGGTGAAGGGACACTAGCAACAACCTCAAAGCAAGTCTTGCTCTAAAAGCTTCGGCGAAGAACACTTAACCTTTCAGGATGTTTAAAACAGATCCCCTCACCCTCATCCTCCTCCCCACCCCACTCCCACCTCACAGGTTGTTCTCTGGTTCCAGGTTGCTCTTAGAAATTGACTTGAAATACCCCTGTACTAAACTGGCCGCTGGGGTTCAGTGAGAAAAGGATTACGTTTCCTACTTAGAGGAGTTTATAGTTTAGCAGAGAGGACCAAACACAAACATTTCAATAAAATAGAAGGACTTTTAAGTGTTTTCTCGGGGCGCCTGGGCGGCTCTGGTGATTCAGCGTGGGTGGGGAGATTCAGCACTGCCTAGGACTCCCGTTCAGGGAGTTGGCTTCTCTCCCAACCCCCTATGCTCCTCCGGGCTTGCTGTCTTCCTCTTTTCTCTCTGTCAAATAAATCTTTTTTTAAAGTGCTTCCTCTCACACAGTTACCTAAGTAATTAAAAACACAAAATACCCACTTTTAAAATAGAACTTAGGGGGCTCCCGGGTGGCTCAGTGGGTTAAAGCCTCTGCCTTTGGCTCAAGTCATGACCCCAGGGTCCTGGGATCCAGCCCCACATCAGGCTCTCAGCTCAGCAGGGAGCCTGCTTCCTTCCTTCTCTCTCTCTGCCTGCCTTTCTGCCTACTTGTGATCTGTCTGTCAAATAAATAAATAAAATCTTAAAAAAAAAATAGAACTTAGTCATAAAATCCTGCAGAAGAGACCAGTGTAGTTGGATATCACACACGAGTCAGAATCAGGGCCCATCCAACCCACCAGTCTGTTTTGACACGTGTGAGGGGTTTGTGGAGAACAACACAGTGGCTTTGTTTGTCTTCTACCTACTTCCTTAGTCAACTTGGCTCAAGATGGTTTGACGCCAGTAATGTAAATCCTCAGTTTGGACTTGCTGGCCTCACCTTAAAGTATCCTTCATGGGCCAATAACAACCATTTCTAAAGGGTTCACCTTGTACCTTCAAAAAATCTGATGGGAATGAACCCATATATTCTCTCAGCAACCCCATGAGGCAACTACACTCATCACCCCCATTTTCCCAGTAAGTGAAAAGGCAAGGTGCAAACAAGGCAGTTTAATTTATAAATGAGTTATTCATAAATTGGATAATTTTGAATGCACTAGAGATGACTAGATACAGAAAAACAGGTGAGTACTTTTATAAATTGAATACTAATCTCTCCCTTACTGAATCAATTTCATGATTTCAGAACACTGCAAGAATTACTTTTAAAACGATATTTTATAGACTTTTTTAAAGTTATGATCTGAGCTGAAGGCAGTAACTTAGCTGACTGAGCCACCCAGGTGCCCCTGTTTCATGTTGTTTCTAAATTACTTGTAAAATGTTTGTTTAAAATGTTTTAAAACTTGATTCATATTTTCTCATCAAGTCTAACTGCTAATTTGCAAGTGAGCCAAATTCTTCATTGGGCTATAACAATTCTTCGCTATATATATATGACAATATATGCAAACTAATGTACAGGTTCGACACAATTATTCACTCATGCTATAGGGAAAGAGCAGTAACACAAATGACAGATACAGTAGATAACAGTGAGTAATTCCAACAGCTTTTGGAAGGAGTGTGTGTGTGTGTTTGTGTGTGCATGTGCATACATATGTAATCATACAGAGGAATTTCTGCAAAGGTCTAACCCAGGAGGAGCTTTTGAACAGTATAGCCTCGCCTCTACTCAGATCTTCTCCCATGTCCTATTCCTTTCTGTGAAGTCTGCATTTTACATTTTATATTCATTAAATAAATATTGCCCTTTGGAGGCCACTTCTTTTCAGATGGCAGCTCTGAAAGATAGAACGAGCTTAGCTTAGATCTTATTTGAAGAACTGCCAAGGAAAGCTGCCCAATAAGCACAGGACTGGGACATAAATTTTCACTTTCTTAATTCACTTCTCTTTTCATGAGAAGTTTTAAATTTTGATGAAATCAGTTTATTAGTTTTTCTTTTCTGATTAGTACTTTTTGCTCCTGTTTAAGAAATCTTTGCACATCCCAAGCTCATACAGCCTCCTGTGTTTCCAGCTAGAAGATTTACAATTTTAGATTTTAGATTTAAATCTATTATCCATTTTAAATTAATACGAATGGTATAAATGTAAGGGTCAAGGTGAATTTTTTTTTTTCCTATCTGGATATTATGTTCTTCCAGCAGCATTTGTTCTAAGACCTTTCTTTCCCCTTGAATTTCATTGCTGTCTTTGTCATTGATCATATATGGGTGAACCTATATCTGGACTCTCTTTTGTTTAACTGATCTATTTGTTTATCCTTACACCTATACCATATTGTATTAATTACTTTAACTTGAAATTTGAAAACTGGTTATATATATGTATATATATATATACCTTCCATCTTTGTGCTTATTTTAAAGATGATTTTGACTATTCTGGTTTTTTTCAATTCCATTACATTTTAAAATTAACTTTCTATCAAAAGAGCCTCCTGGGGCTTTGATGAGGATTACATTGAAGGTATAGACCAACTTGGGGAGAACAGACATCCTAACAATTGAATCTTCTAATATGTAAAATAGACTATTTTTCCTTTTCATAGGTCTTCTTTGATTTCTCTCTGTGTTGTTTCATATTTTCAGTGTGGAATCTTGCACATTTTATTTAGTCCTGTGTATTTTATTTTTAAAGTCCTACTGTAAATGGTGTTGTTTTTACATTTTCATTTTTCATTTGTTTTTTGCAAGTCTGAAGAAATACAGTTAATATTTGTGTATTGACTTTGTATCACATGGCTTTGCTAAATTCACTTAATAATTCCAGTAGTTTGTAGATTCCTTGGATAGTCTATGCATACAATCATGTCCATTTATGAATAACATGTTACTGTTTTCTTTCCAATTTTTTATTTTTTATTTTTTTTCTCTCTTCATTGCTCTGGGTAGGGCCTCTAATATAGTGCTGAATAGAGTGGTGATAATAGACATCCTTGTCTTGTTATGGAGGAATATTCACTATTTTATCATTAAGTGTGATGTGATTTGTATGTTTTAGGTAAATAATCTTACCAAATTGGGGAAGCTTCCCTCTATTCTTAGTTAGCTAAGAATTTTTATTATGAATGGGGTTGAATTTTATAAAATACTTTTTCTGTGTCTATTAAGATGATCCTATTGTTAAAATTATATTGATTGATTTTTTAATTTAAATTTTATTTTTTTAAAAGACTTTATTTGAGAGAGAGAATGAGCCGGGGGAAGGGGCAGAGGGAGAAGGAGAAGCAGACTCCCTGCCGAGCAGTGAACCCAATGTGGGACTTGATCCCAGGATCCTGGGATCATGACCCTATCCAAAGGCAGACACTTAACCAGCTGAGCCACCCAGGTGCCCCTCGAATGATTTTTTTAAATCATTTGTTAAGCAAACTATCTGTTTCTAGAATAAACTCACATAACCACGATGTGGATAGTTCTTTTTTTTTTTTTTAATATTTTTGAAGCCTGATGCAGGGCTCAATCCCAGGACCCTGAGATCATGACCCAAGCTGAAGGCAGATGCTTAACCAACTGGGCCATCCAGGTAGGTGTCCCTGTATAGTTTTTATATGAGATTGTATTTGATTTGTTAAAATTTCACTTGAAATTTTTTTCATCTATATTTTCAAGGGATATCACTCTAATTTTTTTTTTCTTGTAATGTCTTTGATAGGTTTTGGTGTCAAGGTTATGCTGTCTGTCTGAAAGATTTTGTTTAGAATTGTTGATCTTTTTCCTTAAAAGTTTGGCAGCATTTACCAGTGTAACCATCTGGATTGGGTATTTTGATTGTTGGAATGTTTTATTTTTTTATTTTTTTTTTTAAGATTTTATTTATTTCCTTGACAGAGACAGATCACAAGTAGGCAGAGAGGAAAGCAGAGAGAGGAGGAAGCAGGCTCCCCGCTGAGCAGAGAGCCCGATGTGGGACTCGATCCCAGGACCCTGAGATCATGACCCGAGCTGAAGGCAGAGGCTTTAACCCACTGAGCCACCCAGGCGCCCTGTTGGAATGTTTTAAATTATGGGCTTAATTGCATTAGAAGATAAAGGATTATTCAAAATTTTTCTCTTCTTGTGCCCTTTTCTGTAAGTTGTGCTTTTCTAAAAAGTTGCCCATTTCATCTAGATTGTCAGATGTATTGGCATAAAGTTATTCATGACATCCTCTTTTTTTTTTTTTTTTTTTTTTTAAAGAGAGAGAATGACTGATTGTGTGCATGGGAGGGAAAGGGAGGGAGAATCTTAAGTAGAATCCATGCCTAGCACGGGGGTGACACACAGAGCTTACACAGGTCTTGATCTCATGACCCTGAGATCAAGACCTGAGCCAAATCAAGAGTTGGACCCTTAACCAACTGAGCCATGCAGGCGCCCCCCTCCATTATTCTTTTAAAGTATGTAGCATCTAGATTGATGTTGCCTCTGTCATTCCTAATATTAGTTATTTGTTTTTCTCATTCTTCTTTTTCCTTGATCAGTTATGCCGATTTTATTAATCTTTTAAAAAAAACTGTCTTTTGGCTCCATTGACATCCCCTGTTTTATATCTCTTTTCTATTGCATTAATTTCTGATTTTGTGTTTATTATTCCTTCTTTCTACATTTGCTCTTTTTTTAGCTTGTAGAAAT